AAGAGAAAAGTGTACTAATGGGGACTGCATCAAATCAAGACAATCAAGATGGAGCTCTTGAAATAACAGTTAGTGGGGAGAAGTATCGTTGTCTCAGATTCGCAAAAGCAAAGAAGTGAAGGCACTAAAAGTAGGAGCAAATATCAGTATGTTTGTTTATACACAGCTAGTTTTGCTGGATGCTCATATAAATTTTTAATCAATATTGAATTTATGCAGCCTCTCTTACTTAGGAAAGAAAAAGAAAATTAGATCTGTGCCTCTTTGAAGTTATACTGAAAAATCTTGCTGCAATTTTTCTGTTGTGCCTCTTTTAGGCTTGAGCTTTGAAAACCATTTTTACCTTAGAACCCTGAACAACCCGAGTTTATCGGAGCCTTCTCTTCCTTTGGATGTTGTCCAGACAATTCTACTGTTCACATCCTACATCCAAATATTGTTTAGGTTATGAGTTCGGAGTCGATCCCTCATAGAGCAAGGTGGTTCTCCAACATGTCATTTGCACATAAAGGTATTGTTTTCTAATATTTAGGAAACAAACTTGTCCATTTCTAGCTGTTTACGGTTTGAGGCAACACTGTAACAAAGTCCTTACATATTAAGCTATTAACTATAGTAGCTGAGAGGTCCTTTCCAGGTGAAAAGAGAAAAGAAGGCTACTTTTCTTCTCCTCTTTTTGTAGTAAAGTTTGAAAATAGAAAAAGAAGAAAGCTTAATAAGGAGACAACTCCATTTTATAGGAAAGACTATCTTTGGTTTAGTTAGAATTGGAAATTTTCTCTTTACAGAAAGGTAATTACAGGTCCACCCATTGAAAAATACAATTTATTAGTTCTCACATGCTGCCTCTTTTCTTAGTAGGCCCACCTTTTCGTGTAAATGCGAGAGGCAGGTTCAAGATTTTAAGCACCGTGATACCTGATATTATTGCGTGTCGATGAATGCAAACTTAGTGTAATTATGTACTATATATTTTTGACTTATGGGCTACGAAAGAAAGTGACTTTACCATGAGAAGGATAGTGATGTCTACATTGTTGCTTTATCTTCAATCACTGCCAAAATTCTACTTCAAAAGTTAGCAAGAAATAGAAAGTATATTTATACAAGCTAATTAATTACATAAATATCAGATAATAATAACCATATCTAAGAAGCATTGGGATGAGTTGGAGTGAATCATGGCCAGCTGCTGTATTGATCAGTTGTTTTAAATTCTGAAATGTAACAATAAAATTACTCTAGTACTCAGATACATAAAATTTACCAAATATCTTTAATCAAAGATGGTTAATCAAAGATGGTGCTAGGTGGGGATTCATGAATCTGGACGAACCTACTAGCTATTTCGTAGATCCTATATTTGTATTAAAAAATTAAATAAATATACATGTATATTAGTTTGTAAATCCCTAAACAAAATAGATTGATAGCTTAATAGTAAAAAACGATGTATGAAAATGCTTTTCATATTAGTATTGTGGGTTCAAAACCATTTATTTTTTTTAAAAAAAAGGAAGCATGCTTACAATATTTCTCTTCTAAAAAATTTGAAACCTCAAATTTCTAATCTTGACTTGACCTCTGGACCTTTAATCTTGTGGTATCAGGCATATATCGCGAAAAGTTTAAACTAAAAGACTTTCTTTTAAACAAAAATTAAAATATAATATAACCAAATTAAAACGGACGGCGCATAATATATGTCTAAAAATATTACTATAACAATAAAAAGTTAGGTGAGGGAAGTGGGGTTGAGTTGTGATGAGCTGTGTATCCTTGTTAGGATTAGATGCTTTCACCTGAGCTGTCTTCCCTTTTCAAACTTTCTTCAATGAATCCAATTCTGAGTTTAATGTGTATGGATAATCCTTCTTTTTTTAATTTATTTTTATATTATCATATAAAATTGACTTATAATATATATTTATATAATAAAAAAAAAGTAATTTATTACAACAAATTAATAATGTTAATAGCTTTATATATATCTACACCCCAGAAAACAATTTGAAGTCTAATCACCAATTTGCTACCTCCGAACAGAGTTAGAATTTGAATTTTAAATTTTAAGATAACGATGTCATGTGTTAATGTTTGATTTTGATTTTTTCTTTTATATTTTTAAAAATATAACAAAGAATTCAAATCAAAGCTACTAAGTTCGATATCTGGTACATAATATTCCAAGCTATGCACCTATCATTATTTCTTTTGGTCACTTTCTCTGACTTTTTTTATCGTTGAACGTCGGGTGAGCTCATGAGAGTGAAGATGTGAGTACAAATTATCTAAAGTTTATCCTGTTTGTTATCGTTTTTACAATAATAACGTATTTAATATAATTTCATATTAAAATTTGAGAAAAAAATATGTATGTTCTTGAAATTGTTTTCGATAGACACTGTACTTCGTTTACGAAATGTGTGTACATACAAAATTCTTTTTACTATGGTAAGTATTTGGTTTGTGACAGCTACAATAATAGTGTCACATCAGCATCATCAAAGAAGAGTTGTTCGTTTTTTTTTCAGATTTTGTGGTAGCAAATACATGCAGAAAATTCAGTTTTATATTACCTGTTTTACTGTATTGTTATTTATTTTTAGCAATTTTGCTGCATTTAAGTTTTTTGTATAAATGCATACATGTGTGTGTATATACAAACACAACTAGACAAGTGGGGCTAATTTAAGGGGCCATTTGGTGGACTTCAATATATATATAGTGATGGAGCCACGTGCTATAAAGGTCATTAAATCGTCTTATTAATACATATGATATTTCAAAATTATTTTTTTTCAAATTCCTTATTAAAATTTCTGGCTCGGCCTTTGCTCGAACGTTCCTAATGGTAGGGGTACTTAAACAAACTTACATAATATAGCTTGTATGCTGTCATAGTATGGCAACTTGATCATCATATATTTGTTATTTTGACTTTTGAATTATATAAATAGAGTAAAAATAATTTCGTAAAATATTTATGTATATTGAATTCTAATTAAATTCAGAATCATAAAAGATATAATTAATATAGTTATCGTACACCTGTTCAATTAATTAACATAAAAAAGTTATTACACTATTAAATCACTTTTACTTTATAAGTATCTTATCTTATATTTCAAGATTATTAATTTCATTTTTTAAAAAAAGTCTAACATACAGATAACTAGATATTATATTCTTTGAGCACATAAATCAAATTATTAAAAGCAACTTGGCAAAACTAAAAATAATAAAAGCAACCTTAAATACTACAGTAATAACTTTTATTTATCAATAGTAATAAATATATACTCTTATCCTTTTAGCATTAAATCACATCCTTTAAACGATAATTATATCATAAAAGTAGAATTAATAACCTAAAATAAGTTCATACAAATAACATTTAAGGGCCAATAGGTGTAGAATTTAAGACGTGGTTGCATCAGAATTCAGAACCCACTAATTTTGACACGCACTTTATATACTAGAAAAATAAATTTATTAAAAATATCACAAATAATTAATTTTGAGTCTGATAAATGAAATAAGTTATGACTTTTGATAATTAATTTGCATCTAAATTCAAGGATATATTATACTAACAAGGATGTGATAAGATGAATATCATATTTTATTCATAATTGGAGGTCTCTCATTTTTGGAGTGAAATGCTAATTAATTAAGAACTTTCATACACATTACAAAAATAATAATAGTGAATATGTGAATGAGCATATTTGGAATGATTAGATTAGAAATGAGATTATTCATCATAATATAGGAGTGATTTCCGTGGTTAACAAGATATGAAAGAGAGATTGAGATGATTTGAGCATGTGAAAAGAAAATACACATATCTCCTAATTAAGAGGTGTGAAAAATTAGATATAATAGATACGAAAAGAATTGATTAGACATGACATGATTGTCAAGAAAATAGAGTTTGAAATTTGCGTATATGACATAATAATAATAATAAGTAGTGAAGTATTGTGTTTTTTTTTATGGTCTAGGCTTGTTTATGGCTGCCATTATACTAAGCCATATTGTTTTAGTTTTTTCATAAAAAGAAATATCTATCATAAATTGTTTATTTTTTTTATATTTTACGGAAATTCATCATTTTAATATGAAATTACAATCTATCCCTCTTTAGTTTGTAATTTGATTAATTCCTAAAAAGTAATACAAATCAGATACATTAATGTATAGCTCGAATACATTAAAGAGTATCTCGAATAAATCATAACATAAATCAGATACATCATATGTAGCTCAAATACATTAAAAATTAGCTCGGATAAATAATATGTAGCTCAGATACATTACAAACTATTTCAGATACATTATAAAATAAATCAAATACGTAATATATAGCTCGAATGCATTAAATATTGATTTAGACACATTAATATGTAACTCGGATACACTAAAAAAATAATTTTTTTGAGGTTTTTAGAAATATAAGAGAATATTAAAAATAAGTGAAATATAAGACTTGTATTTTAATATATATATTTTTTCTATTTTATTTCGATCATTGCACTATTCAATAGTTATTCCGTTAATTGTAGGTTTTGCACTACTTTTTTTTTTCAAATTAATATATGTAAATTTAGTATATTTGAATTAAAAATCTTTAAAAACGATATATATATATATTCTATCCTTCTAAATCTAGCTTATAATAGACCTCAATACAAATATTGAAGATCAGTTAACAAAGAGTTATGATAACATTTTGCTAACAAAGAGACCCCACGAGTGGGCTTATTAGTTTCTGCAAAATTTATCACTGCTTTCTTCTTAACTTTACAGGTCCCCCACCTGCCCCTGCCACCACTCAGTTTGAATTGGACCCCACCTCCCTTTTAGCCCCACACCAGCTACAATTGTATTGATTCTCATTTGGTAGGCACCCACACCTACTCTTCTCTTCCATTACCCAAATTCCACAAAGTTGAATTAAAGTGAAGAAAAAAGAGAAACCCCACTACTTCCACTTGTTCTGTTTTGGCTCATTTTGCACTACTACTTGCTTTCATTTGAGCCTTTTTTCTTTTCCTAAAAACTTCCAATTGGTTAAAGTTTTCAAATATCAAACAAATCTTTGTTTGTTGTTACGCCATGGAATTTAGAGAGTCAAATAGCAAAAACAACCAAGATGGTGGGAGTAATAGCAATAATAATAGTAATGAAAATAATAGCAATGTGATTTCTACTAAAATTGTTAAGAAGCCATCGAAAGACCGTCACACCAAGGTGGATGGTCGAGGGCGGCGCATTCGAATGCCGGCTTTATGCGCCGCCAGGGTTTTTCAGCTAACCAAAGAATTGGGTCATAAGTCGGATGGCGAAACCATAGAGTGGCTATTGCAACAAGCTGAACCGTCGATTATAGCTGCGACGGGAACAGGTACAATTCCGGCTAATTTCTCAACTCTTAATGTCTCTTTACGCAGCAGCGGGACTACAATTTCAGCTCCGCCGTCGAAATCTGCGCCGCTTTTCATTCACGGCGGTGCTGCCACTATGCTGGGTTTCCACCACCAGATTCCGGGCAACAGTTTTGGGCAAGACCCAGATGAGAATTTCATGAAGAAGAGGTATAGAGAAGATACAACTGCAGCATCAACTTCACCATCGTCATCATCAGCTAAACCGGAAAGAACCGGAGTTCAAGGTCACGAACCGGATCAAGAATCGAAACCCGGTTCATCGAATCCCTCTAGCTACATACCGACTCCCGCCATGTGGGCTGTTGGTCCGGCGGCCGGTAACGTCGGAAACACGTTCTGGATGCTACCAGGTACCTCATCAACCATGCAGAGAATTGGTGGTTTCGAGTTACCGGGAGGTGGCCGGTTCAGTCCGGTTCAACTAGGATCAATGTTTTTGCAGCAGCCACAGCCGGTTCAGCAGCTGGGGTTGGGTGTGACAGAGACAAATATGGGAATGTTGGCATCGATGAATGCATATAACAGTAGTAGTAGTAGGGGTAGTGGGATTGATTTGGGGATGAATTTGGAACAACATCATCATCATCAAAATCAGCCTCAAGGTAGTGACAGTGGTGATGAAAATCACAAAGATTCCCAATCATAACTCCAACATTGATACCACAAAAGGATGTGTGGGACTGTTTTTGTCAAATCTCGAGTTTGAGTCATGAGTATGAATAATTCTTGATAAAAAGCGATTACCCAAATGAGGCCTACATGACGCAAATTTAGAATAGTCATGCTTCAATACGGGTAGATAAACTCGCAAGATTGGTGCCTTAATGCATTTTTTTCCTATAGTTAGGAGAGAATTGTTTGCGGTCATTGTAAATGTTTCATTACTTTCAGTGCTTTTTTCACTCATTTTTAACAGTTTTTATTGAAGAGGAATTGGAGTTGCAGCCTAGTGCATGGATTTCTACATTATTGCACTATTATTTTTGCCTAATTAAAAAAAGGACCTGATGAATTAAATGCATAGATAAAATCGAAGACATATTTTTGGTATAAACATCTAATGCTAGTTAATTTTTATTCATATGAACATCTTAATTATAATCCTATCAAATGTCATGCTTTGTTACCTCTCCTTTTTCGTCATTCACATGCTCATCTTGTTGATAGAAAAATATTTGCCCAAAAATCATTTATATGATAAAATTTTATTAGTTTAATTGATTGATAATTTGAACTTTCACCAATTTAATGAGTATGATTCTTAATTCTTACCTCGAAATTCCCTCTCTTTTTTTCCTTTTTAGCTTGTTTCTTTTTGGGAACCATCGTAATTGCTTATATTATGGTTTTTTTCTTTTGTTATATTTTGGTATTTTGGGTTGGGCAAAAGGATGATTAAATTCATTTTGAACACCATCAAAAGGATGTGGTGATGGGGCTACTCCGCTTTCTTTCGGATGGGGATCCCACGGGATACGATACGTAACACAAATTAAAAATAATTAAATTTTAATAGTAATATCAAATATCGAATAAAAAATAATATTTTGAATAATAACAAAAAAACTAATATAATAATGTACCTCCAAAATGTTCCTCATAATTGGTGGAGTCAGGTCTTCTCCAAAAGGCCCTCCTTTCCTTGCCTTCCAAGTTGTACATAATTGAGAGAGATACAGATAAATATTAGTTTATTCCATTTTATCCAAAAATAAATGTTTTTTTTTAAGTTGAAAAATGTATTAATTAATTTTTATTTTGGACAAGAGGGACTATCAACTAGTTGACTGAGTCTTCCAAATATGGTTACATTCAAATTGTATGGCCTAGCTGTTCTTTTAATTCGATTGCTTCACAATTTTTACTATTATTGTTACTTTCTGCTTCTCACGTTTCACGTGATACTCTTTAACTTGATAATATTTAATAAATAATAAAAATTTGTGAAACTTATGATTTATAGTAGTCCTTGTATATTTATGTGATTGAAAATCAATTCATTAAGAGTAAAAGAAAATTTTTAAAATTAAATTACTAAATAGTAAAATAATATTATTTTTGGAACCGATTAAAAAGAAAAGTCTGTTGCAAATTGGACGGGGGAGTACTATTACTTATATTGGATTGAAAAGAAGTATCATGTTAGCACTTGAATTGTCATTATCATGTTAATTTTAAATTAAGAGGAGCCAAACAATACCACTAGGACCCAATATGCCAATGTCACTAAGAATTTTAGTCGGATGTGAAATGCAAGACAAAGGATATGTTGAGTGCAATCAAGGCCAATGTTTAGTGACACTATTAAGTTGAATGTGTCAATGTCACAAGTAGAATTTAAGTGCAACACCAATGACTTGTGACATTGGTCATTGGTGACACTAGGAATTGGAAAGATTCTATTTTGTTGGGTGAATATGCTCACAGCATCATGCACCTAAGCTTTTAAAACTATTTTCTTTTTCTCCGATGTTTCGTATTAGTATTGAAATTACAATATTTTAAATTTGTGAAACATAAGATTCTATTCGAAGGAAAGTGCTGGCTGTCTCATCCATAACACCACATTCATTGATGCTTTTAAGACTTCACCTAAATGATGGTTATATTCAATTTTGGTCCCTATACTATTAGACTAAGGTCTAAGCATATCTAATGTCAACTACCCAAGATGAATACTCATAATTGTCATTTGAGTAGAAGTTTGTAATATATATTGTTTTCATTTTCTTCTTCTTTTATAGTTTTGCAAAAAAGGATAAATGTAGAATATTCCTTAAGCTATTAAATATCATTGATCTTATGGATTATCCATTATTATCTTACAAGAAGAAAAATGATCCAATTTAAATTTTAGGATAAGCTATTCTAGAACTGCCTTCCCCCCCTTGTTCTCAATTCTCTCTGTCTTCCACCATCATTGCCTTTTTGTGTTATATATGTGGCAAACCACTAGGGAGTGGAGTATTATAAACCAAAATTTCAATGAAGGTGTTTACAATTATTTCACCAATTTTGAAATATAGAAAGGAATATAAAATAACAAGAGCAAAAGATTTCTCTTACGAACGTGAGTTGTGGTGCATCAGTGAAAGTGAAACTGTTTCATTTTTAAGCAGAGTTCTCAAAAATTTGAATATCGAGTACAAAGAAAATCTTGTTGGGATCGTCACTCTTGAATGAATCATGTAATGAGTAACTCAAATATAGCCAGAAACCCCGAAAATAGATATAGTGAACGATACATCCAAATGAGACCTGTAATACGCAATCCAGATCTAGTTGAGGCTTTTCTTGACTTCTTTTTTAGTTCTTTTGGTGCTCAGTTACCAAAAGAAGCATTAAAATACATGCTGTCCTGGTTTAAATAACTGTCTAATATGTTTTTTTTTTCAAATAGTTTGAGGTTGTCATCTTTTAATTAACTATAACAAGAATAAGAGGTCTTTAGCTAAATTGATTCCCTCAAAATTCAGGAAAAAAATTAACCAAATTCCAATAATTGAATCTATCTTCCACTTGCACCACAAGTAGCATCAAAGGTCAAAAAGAAGGTGGGAATCTCTTATTTTTGTTGTCTGCCTTATCCTAATCAACAACAATAATATCCTCACTATATTATTAGAAGTAGAATTTAAAGAGTATATATATATATATACTCTTATTTTTATCTCGTGAAAATAAAAATATTATTTTAAAAAGATAATTGATTCAAGTACCACATAACAAAACAATTGAAAAGGCGAATCAAACACTAAATAGGACCTATCTTACTAAATTTGTTTGGTTCTTCAATCTTCGCTTTCATCATGATTTTGAAAACAGTTCTTATGGAAGGGTCGTTTGGTTTATGGGATAAAATGAGATATCCTGATCGCGTTTTATGAATAAAGTAAAGAACGCGTTTTATGAATAAAGAGTAAGGGTAATATAATAAATACAATAATTTATAAGAAAGAAATATAATTTTACTCATAAAACGCTATTACTGAACGCTATTTATGAATAAAAAGTAGACACAATATAGTAATTTCAACAATTTATAAAAAGAAACATAATTTTACTCATAAAATGCCGTCACTGAACACATTTTATGCATGAAGAGTAGGGGCAATATAGTAATTTCAACAATTTATAAAAAGAAACATAATTTAACTAATAAAATGCTATCACTGAACACATTTTATGCATAAATAGTAGGAGCAATGTAGTAACTTCAATAATTTATAACAAGAAATAGAATTTTACTCATAAAAAACTATCACTGAACGCATTTTATGCATAAAGAGTAGGGACAATATACTAATTTTGACAATGTATAAAAAAAACATAATTTTACTCATAAAACACTATCACTGAATGTGTTTTATGAATAAAGAGTAGGGGCCAATGCTTGTCGCGTTTTACTCGTAATTGCGACAAGCATATAGAGGCGTGTTGCCAGTGCTTATAAGTCACCCATTTATTGACTTTTAATATTAAGAACTTGGAAATGTTTATCGTATTCATATTTAATTGGGTTTGAGGTGATAAATTTTTGTTTTATATTTTTTTAAGAGATAGTATTTTAATTTAGCTACATTAAATTATGTGAAAGTAGTACCAGAGAATAACTCAATTAGATTACAATGTCCAAGTTTTAACCCAAGAAAATAAAATGAAAAAAAAAGAATAACTAATTGACAAACAAGAGAATGAAACGATATTTCTTTTCTAAAACAAAAACCACATGCAAGGCGCTGACAACTGAGCCTTGTAAGGCTCATGACAACTGAGCCTTACAAGGCTAAAAGTTGTTGCGCCTTTTAAGGCTCATCAAATTTTGCGCCACATTTTTGAAAATTTTATTTAGATACCGTTATAATTAATGCCCTGTTAATTTCATAATTAGTTGAGTTGCCTTTTTGAAATTTTTAAAAAAATTTATTGCCGTTTTGATTTCAGACTTGTAAATAAAGAGTTCCTCATTTAAACTTCAAATTTTCTATGCTTTTTTAAAAATAATAATAATAATAATAATAATAATAATAATATTATTATTATTATTATTATTAGAACACCCAATGTAGTATACATTTTATATTTATTTATAATATAGTGTAAAATATATTAAAAGAAGACAAATTTTCACAGTAAAAAGATTGTGACTATGAAGGAACGCTAGAGTTGAAGAAACAGATTTAAAAGTAAAAATTTGAAAATATGAAGAAAAATATAAAAGTAACTTCCATAAAACTGGCCTAGGATTCTCTTACATGAACTTATGCAATTCTTCAAACAGTGATCAGAGTTTAAGATATGGAAACTTCCAATTGATTATATACTCATTTTTTGAACCGTCGATTATGGATTCAGAAAGAAACATTTTATGTAACATTTGTAAAACCTTTTCCTTTTATTTTAGTTTGCCCAAATACTAATATACTACACCAATTTTTGTTGGCTGGGTACGTGTGCTATATATCAGGCATATCATAGAGATTTTACCCCAAAAGGAAGAACATTCTCTTTGAATTGATAGGAGTAATTGCCAGTCAGAAAATGGATATTAAATCAGACACATGTTCAACCAATATGGTTTTCAGTTAAGAAAATATTATTAATGAACCAGGCATACCAATGTTGTGCCAAAACAGAAACAAGAAAAGCAACCACCAGGGTAAAGCTAAGTCAAAACTGAAAGCTATTTAATGCTCTCTAATTCAATAGGTTCATCTTCATACATGGAAGCTCCAAGGGCAGCATTATTGTGGTGGAGACGTAATAGCATGATGATCTAGCCAGAAGCAGTTTTCTTTTGCTGGAAGACGACAGCATAAACTGGGACTATAACACCAATGGCGACTGCAGACCAGACACCAAGAGTCATCTTCAGCTTCTGGTTTGACATCCTGTCCAAGTTGTACATGTGTTTTGCGTGAATGTAAAAAGGTTCGTCATGTCCATGACCTCCCATTCTCTTGACGCCTGTTGAGTGGAACTCTCTCTTCACTGACCAAACAATAAATATCAATTATCAGTAAGGTCAGACTTATAAAAAGCATGAACAACAGCATCCAAATTTGATTGAAATAAACTTTTCATAAAGAAACGGTAAGATGAAAGACAATTAGAAATGAAATATGAGAGAAATGGAAGTTTCAAAACATGTATAATTAACTAAACAAGTATCAAAGAATGTTTGAAATGTAACGGTTAAGACAGACGTTTGAACTTGTGCATAAAGAAAGAAGTTGGCATAATAAATAATTCGAAGTCATTCAAGCAGGCCGTAGAAAAACACGTTTCAATTGCCACACTGTTCCAATGAAAAGATTGTCAAACTGATGGAAGTATGCTTGTCCGACAAAGGAGGAGGGAGAGCTACCAGGGAGGGTTCCTCAAATTATTAGAAGGTTGACTAATTAATTTTTGAGTTAATGATTTGAATTGATAAAACCCACTATCCATCGCTCTCCCTCTTTGACATCAGTATATTCATAGAATTGAAGCATTTATAAAATTTTCACATAGACCTAAAGATATGTCCCTCAAATGCATTTCCAGCAGATAGCACTATCATTCTTATTTTTTTTTGATAATCACATGTTTCACAAAAAGAACAATGCTCAGAAGATCGACCAAACTATTCTGACTATTTCATGCATCCAGGTTCATAATGCAGGGCCTAGGCTAGTACTGTGATTTATGGTTGATAATAGTCATCAGGATGAGTAAACCTATAAAGTGAAAATATTTTCTCAACAAGCTCTTAAGAGATGGAACAACTTGATAATGCCAAGCATATTTCAGAAGGTGCAGGTTCAAATACCAAAAGAGTATCTGAGATTTTGCTCCAACGGATGGGGAGAATTTTGCCGTTTTTAGTCTTTTTTGGACAAGTTTGCATCAGACTAATGCATTTTTTTTTATAATTGAGAAATGGTCTGTGGGTTCGCTAGACCAACTCCAACTGGCTCACAAGTTTGAACTTGGAGTACCCTGCTCCCACATAAATACCTCTTGCTAGCGGAAGGGTTTGAACTGGTGACGTGCGCCCAACCCAGACATCACGTGTTATATTTTCAAAGCGCTAAACCAAACCCCTGAGGGTCAGATTGATGCAAAATATTGATGAACCTTCTTTAAAAGTTTTAGAAGCAAATAAACGAAAAGGTATTCATGTGGGCCAAACAAGACACCATAAGATATATACACCGTTCTAGCATCCAGAGCCAGCCTTATGGACTACTCTAGACCAAAATTACATCAAACCTCTTATCTTGGAAGTAGCTCCATGCAAGCTGAAAACAACAATAGTTATATGTACCAGGGCTCAACTTGGAATGTCAATGATAATAATTGTACTTTTGTCCTTGCCAATAAAGAACATAAAATCACCTCAAAGAGACCAGAGCTAGAGCTATCAGAAGTAGATATTTTGGATAAGATGGAAGTAGCGGTTGTTACAGAGAAAAAAGAGAATAAAATTCCCTTGTATTAAGCATGAAACTTAAAACAGGAGATTATAAGAGAGCTTCTTATATTGAGGCGCATATGTGCTGTATAGCAGCCAATGAGCCAAAAAGTAGGAACTATTAAGGGTAAAAACTCACATGGAGCACCTTGTTTAATATCCTTAATGTTACTTGTTGCCAACTTTTACACAAGTTCACAGAGGGGGCTTACATAAATAGCTGATTTATCCACATATCAACAACTAGCCACTGTGCATAACATGGATAGATATGACCTCATGCTCAAATCTAAATACTGTACGTATAGCCCACCTGAAATTATTATTTGGTTCTATTATAGAAGTCATGATCTTTAGATGTTTCTACTCATATTTTAGTCTAACGTATTACTTTAGAGAGAACAGGGCTCATTGCAGCACTGTGAAACCAGCAGTCTTGCATCATAATTCATACAGGAGGAACACACAACATTAACAGTGAAGTATCATCTCTCTATGCGCCACAAGACCAGAAGCACAGAATTGCTATAAATTGGTAACAATAGTCTCATTTATTTGAAGGATGGTTTGAGGGATGACAATCCCAACCTATCCTGCCTCCCAATATCAATGAATCAACTATCTGAACCACCATATCCAGGACCATTTCATCCCAATATGCAATCTTTTGTCCTTAATTACAAAGTTGAGATTCTATTTTAGACTAGATGCACTCCAAAATCTCATAATTCTAACCAAGCTTTACAAAAACTCATGAAAGACACATACTTTATGTAAAGGTAACGACAATAACTAACAGATAGACATGAACAAAGAATGGACAAGAAGGGGCGGACGTTCCTAAGAACATTGAACTAAATCCTACTATTAGATTGATATATCTATAACATATGAATAATCACAAATGTATACCTATGTTCTTATAAATCAAACAGATCCACAAAAATACGCCAATTGCGCATACCCCAGAAAATGGGTAGATCTGAAAAAGCAATACCTAAATCAGCAGCGGAAATCTAATTTGACTTTTCATCAAACAGATCCACAAAAATATGCCAATTGCGCATACCCCAGAAAATGGTAGATCTAAAAAACCGATACCTAAATCAGCAGCGGAAATCTAAATTGACTTCTCTTGTTCATATTTTCAGCTTAACATTCAGTATTAACAATAAATCAACAACAATTTTTTTTTAAAAAGTAAGTATCGATCAGCTCTGTATCAATCGACTCATATCATTCCAATAATCATAAATCAGTTTTAAAAAAAAACCAAATGAACAAATGATAATAGAAAAAATAAGTTCTACGAGATGAGAATACCAGTTTTGGAGATAAGGGATGCACATGAACGCAAACCGTTGTTCAACGCCATCGCCGTTCTCTTGCCTTTGTTCGTTTTCCTGCTATGGACGCTCGGAGTAGTTTCGATAGGGTTAAGTTTAAAGTAATGATTTTTTTAGACTTTTGTATTTCCAATTTTATACTACTAACAGCTACCGATTTTTTTTCATTATTATTTATTATTATTATTATTGAATATTTGATTATGAGATATAATATGTCGTTAGTAACTTACTATTTTTAATATTTATATTGATTTTAAAAAATTTAATGTGGAGGAGAAGCTTTGTTCATTTTGTTTAGTATTTTTTTCGGAATTTCACTTTTCATTATGACGATAATATAATAGAATTCTATTTTTGGCAAAATATAGACTAGAAATTAACATAGATAATTTCCCTATAAATAATTAGCTGCTGATGCATTATTAATTATTAAGTACACTAATAATATGTTGTTAAAATACCAACTAATCCCACTTGTAATCAATGTCAGCAAAATACATTTTGTTGTGCAGATTTTATCCAAATCAATCAGATTGTTCTTCTGCACATAATTTTATTTTGTTCACAGAGAGTTGTAGAACTGCAGCTCAACAATAACCTTAAAAGAAACAAGTGGCCTAATAAACACCAAACAGGATGGATGACATTCTTCTGAACATGTAGCTCAATGAACTTTGTTTATAGCCGGAGAGATCTCAACAACTTTAGTACTCAAAAACTGTGATGACAAAACGCTAGAAATCGTTGCCGGAAGAAGCACTGTTTGATCCATTAGCTTCAGAAGGCCCGTTGCTGGTTTTGCTGATAATCCCCTTGCCAAAATAATCAGCAATTACGGAAAATCCATCCTTTGAGCTCTTGACTTGTTGGAAGAACTGGTCTGGGTTTTTGGAACTTTGTTCCAAGCTTCTCTTTGTTTCCAGAACGGCTCTGTACTCGGGAGCACACTCGGGGCACTCTTTCTCATTGTCGCCAAGACATCGCTGATGAAATGAGTGCATACACATGAAGTGGACAGCAGGAAGGTCTAGGGTGAATGTGCAAGTAGTACACTTGCTAAGCTGAAATATTCTAGCATTTGTTCTTAGATCCTGGATCTCTTTTCTCATTATTGATGATTCTTCCTGCAAAATGACCAGAATGTTATATTTCTTAATTTTGTTCAAGGATTCATAAGAATTCAGATGAAGATGAAATTAGAATTCGAGATAACTGGATATAAATATCTAATAATTTATTTCTCGAGAAGGACTTAGGGAGTAATATTTCATGTTTCAAGAAGACTACCCGTCATCAGGTGCATAGGTAATGAGCTCAGAGAATAGCAAGTTTAAGCAGTGATTCTAGGTGCTTGTAGCCAAGAGAAGACAATAGAAGTCAAGCATCTAATTCAATGGTGAAAGAAAATGTGGCCATGGAGAACAACTAATAGAAGGCAACAGATGCCAATAGTATATCCTTCTTTATCAAAAAGATAGTATAGAATGAAAGACAGTTATTTCAGCCACTCCTGGCGTCCCTCTCCCAAAAGAAAAAAGCAGAAAAACAGAGTACACAAGACGTATTGCTGAAAGGCTAATTTTGAACTCGGATATATGATGACAGTGGCCTAGAATGTTATATGTGATAGTTCATTATCCATTGAAATATCAATTGGGTAAAGAAAAATCCTTGAAAGAACAGAAACAACATCATACCTAGTGTAGTCCCACAAGTGGGGTTTGGGGAGGGTCGTTTGTACGCAGCCTTACTCCTACCTTGTGAAGGTAAAGAGGCTGTTACCGACAGAACCTCAGTTAAAATGAAACAAATACAGTAGCGAAGAAACCACGATGAAAACAATAAAGAAAGGAACAAGTAAACAACAAACCGTACCATAACTAAAGCAAAGGAAATGACAGGTAATACCAAAATCAAAGAATAAGATAGTATCAGAATAATAATAATGTTAATACTGATAGGAGAACTAGGCAATACTCGACTACCTTCTACCCCAAAATTATTTCAATATTATTTGATCATCAAAATCATAGCTTCTACAGTCCAATCAAAGTAACTTCCTTTTTTTAATTCTTACAATTGTCAAGCAAAAAATATCAACCATAAAAGGGCAAACCAAACAAGACCCAAACAGCAATTCCTGTGTACTTAACCACTTATTAGTCCTTCTTCTCCAACTTTACAATGCCCATAAATATTTCACAAAAAGAGATGCAAGAACAATTAAAATTTCCAATTTTCCACTTTTCAGCCACAGAATTTCCTTTCACATAAAAATTAAAACAGACCTGACAAAACCAAAAATACAAATAATAAAAGTTACAATTCTCCATATTTGTTTCAACCAAACAAGAAACAAATGAAAAGGATTTCTTGGAGAAAAAAAAGGACAACTTTATTACCTTCGAAGTCAGTTGGCAAGGGATCCCACAGACCCAAATTAAGAAAAGGAATTAAGTGAATATGTGACAGATATGAAGAGATTCTTGTTGTTGTTGAAGTAGAGGTGACAAGTAATAGGAAACTTTGCCGACTGGAACCAAAGAACAGAAAAAACACTACTATAATAACTACAACACCTCAGTCCCAAACAAGTTAGGATCGGCAATATGCATCCTAACTTACCATACTCCCCATTGAAATTCTACATGGGGCCATAGGAATGAAACAGTGTCCATTTTGTTTAAACCACAAACCATTATGTCAAATGTGATGAGATGGCAGCTCAGAGAATTGGGAGTCTCTTTGATATCTACTATGTTGGGAAGATATGCAACAGTCATTATCTTCACCAACATATGGAAGATACCAACAGCAGACTATGTTGCAACATGTACTACATGAAACACTCAGATAAGTTAAATAGATGGTATTGCTCTATAATTACCACATCAAGGAAATGGCTGAAAGGAGGCTGTTCAAAGATAAAAACAAACCAAAAAAGCCTCCCTCCCCATAGTTATGTCACTGTACTGTAATTAACTTTTTAACTCTAGTAAGGAAATACTGAAAGGAGGCAAGTTATACACATTAGAGGTATCCCAAAATATTTACATACACAAATATGAAATGGAATTCGAACAGACAAGTACCAACCTGATACTTTTCCATAGCTCTGCGATCTTCTTCAATCAACTGAGACTCATGTTCTAACTTTCTAGCTATGTAATCTTTGATAACTGAGAGAGAGAGGCACGGGTTTTTAGCAAGTGTCTGAAGAACCACAATGGGAGGCAAGATATCACCCCTCTCAATGTATGTCAGGATTTCTTTGACTTCTTTTGAGCAGTCTTCTCCAAGTTCACCAAAATACTTCAACAAATCTGCCCAAAGAGAAGGGTCACCCCCCTTACCCAAATCACCCAATCTCTTGCAGCATGAAATCAAACCTTCATGATCATGTACCTGCATGTAGCATGCAATAACTTCTTTGAAAAGTTTCATCTTCTCATACAGAAACAACAATCCTTCTTTAAAGTCATTCATCTCGCATAAAATTATGACAAGATCAACGTCATATAGTGGTTGTTCTAGTTCAGAAGGCCATGCACTCTTAAGCAAGGTCAGCCCCTTCCGACGTCGCTCTTGACGACCTTTCTCATCATTTACGTCTTTCTTGTTCGATATAGCCCTCCCATTAGATACTGATTTTGAAGATTTATGTGCTAGATCATTTCCACCATCATCTATGTTAGATTGTGAAATTGATGGGAAATCCAGGTCATGAGACAAGTACAATTCCAGGAGTGTGTTGTGAATTTCCACTTGAGCAGATGAATCCTTCACTTTGCTGGTATATTTTTCAAGGAACTCCAGAAGTGCATGAGGATAATGCACAAAAATGTTGAGAAAATCAATAGGAGAAGGCAACATTGAAATAAATGCACCACTAGATGCTCCCTTCTTAGGCAGTTCGGATTCCTCTGTGCAAAGCCTCATGAGTATCTCAACTGTTTCAGCTGGCTTATGCTCAATAAGAATTTTGCCATACTCTTTCACTGTCACCCCAGCTTGACTCAACTCAAGGCTGCTGATATATTGTAAAGCTTCTTCATACCTGCCTAGATCTTCAAGCAAAATTTTAAGGTACCATTCATGCCTCCCAGCTTTCTTAGCAACAGACATGGCATGCTCGTGATAATTGGCAGCTCTGCATACCCTTATTGCAGTCTCAACATCAAACTTTTGTTCCCCAACCCCATCCTCACTTTTGATAAACTCATTCAGCTTCTCAACATCTTTTAATTTGGTGTAACAATTTAGTAAAAGAGTGGTATGATCTTTTGAGGCAAGCCCCTTCTCGTGCAACTTTTCCAAGTAATTGGTGAGATTGTGGATTCTCTGTGCATCCAAAAATTTTTGTATGACATATGAAGGTTCTAGATGTCCAATGGTGTGTATATACTGAGCCATAGCCTCATCAAAGTTTTGTTTACTGTACAAGTGATCGCCATATTTCCTCAGCACTTCAGCAGTTGCAGCAGCATCAGCTTGTTGGCTTTGGACAAGATTTATAGCAACTGTATAAAGGTTCTTCTTGAAAAGCATATCCAATTTGCTCTCCATATCTTTCTCCCCAATGCATAAAGTTGATTTGTCCTCCAAAATAAGTATTATGTTACCCCATTCACAAAGCATCTGAGACACATCGTTAACCACTATACTGTGGGCAATTAACCGGTTCTTCAGATCATAAACATTGAAAGTGTTCTTTCCAGTTCTTTGATCATCAAAAACACATAACAGGTATCCGCGAAACCACCCAAGGAATTTCTTCTCTCCTTCAAAGGCCCAACAAGGACCACGGCCATCAACTTCATAGAAATATATCGCCTCAGACCGACCAATAATGAATTCCTATAAGAGGATAATATCAATGACACTAAAAAAATGAAATTCCCAGCAAAAAGGAAAGAAGATAATAAAGAACACTTCAATTAGCACACACCGATCGATCAGTCATTGCAACACTAGTTACACTAGATCCAATCTGATCAAGAGTCTGCCGGGTTGGTGCTTGAGTATGCATGTTGAACAAGTTCACTGTATTTGGGGTAACAGCAAACAGCTGAAGCACCTGACCATCCACTCTGAATCCCAGACCCGTGACGGAGGATTGGCTTTTGTCTGAATGATTATCCACCTGAAGCTTAAAGCGCTTGATACGTTCACGGGCTATATCTCCTTGAATGCAATAGATGGAACCATTGTCCAGCCCTATAACTATGAGTAATAATGGCGGAGCCTCTTCCAGCACCAAAAACGATGTGATCTGCAGTTATATGTTTTGTACTTCCATTTCATAATTGAATGATACGCAATAAAATAAAAGGCACACGAGTAGATGGGAAAGAAGAAACTTCATAAATACTAATATACACCTTTGCTTCAGGGAACTGGTTGGTGAACACTCGCAGTATTTGAATACAATCTGGACTTGATGTACTTGTTCCCTCGGGCTCCATCTTGTCAAGATCAAAAATTTTAAGACAAACAGCTGGGGGCTGGGAAGCTATTTGCTCATCTTCTCCAACAGTCACTAAGAAGTTCCTTTGCTAGTTAACATAGAAAGAGGAAAGCTAAAGTCAATGCATTCTGCATTATCAACTTTAAATAAGTATATGGGGTTTTCATCCAAATTATGTCTATCATTGCGTCAATAAGTAGTAACAATTGAGGAACTTCAAAAAAATTCTACCTTGAGCTGTTGGAGGAAGAGGACAGATGAAGAATGAGCTTGAAAACCATAATTGAACTTCAATCCTCGATCCAATAACGAAGCACTGCCATCATCACAACCCAACACAATCCTTCCTTTACCGCTGGAACAACATTGGATCTTGCCCGCTATATCATCTGGAACTTTCCCAGAAAATTTCTCCTCAAAAAATTCAAACTTCCTCCATTGATACATCCTTTTGTTGGTCTAGCCCTTAGTTACTGCTCAACCAGACCCACTACATGAAATTGCAAACCCAGTGAGTATGATTCTGGAATTTGTAGAAAAATTGAAACTTTATAGTTGTTAGCAATCACGTTGTAGGAAGAATTGAATCGACTCTTAGATGAAATTTTGATCTAATTTTATGAAAAGGTCCATAGACAGGATGGAAAGTTGAAGAATGATACCAAATTGGTTTTGTCGGGTCACTTCTGTACCCGTTTCTGCTTGTTTTCTACCGTTCCTTTCTGCAATTTTTATTTTTTATTTTTCAAAAAATATCAAAAATATCGCTAAATTATTAAAAAAAATTAAAAATATTCTTCGTTCATCTATTTTGTTAAAAATAACCCTCCGGTGACCTTTATGCTTACTTAAAACTAACCATCCTTTCTTTATTTTATTTTTTAAAAATTATTTTATTATGTGTTATTTTTTTATTGGGTAAAATAAGAAACCTCAACCCCACCAAGGTTGATGACTTGGCAAACAAGATTGAATTAATTTCTTTTTTACTAGTGTGAGGAACCTTTGAAAATGATAAAGAGATAAAAGTGAACTGAAGATTTATCAAAAGTATCAAAAAAAAAATTTGACGACTATTTTTTATCGAAAAAATTATATATTTGTACCAAAATTTCCATTTATATTATGAAAATTAAAATTTTGGGTTGAGTGTAAATAGTAAAAATAAATTCAAATAAAAAGAAGTGGAGAAAATGTTTAGAATTATGCAGGAATCATTGAACCGAAAAAAAAAGTGATTGTAAAAATGAATTGAGTACTGGAGCCAGAAACTAAATTCAAATCAAAATAAGAATTTTGTATTGCTAAATTTATATCAAAATCACGAAAATAGATGTCCACAAAACTAAAGCAACTTTTGAATCATTCTTCATCTTCATCTTGTATGTCACGTCAGAAGCTTAAATAAAGAAAAAGAAAGGGCTGTTAGTTTAAAGGATAAAATTGAGCCATTAATATGAATGAAGGAATATTTTTAGCAAAATAAATGGATAGAGCGTATTTTTTAGATCTTTTCCTACAGTAGAAGGGTATTTTTGGCCTTTTTTCCCTTCTATTTTTTAAAGAAGTGAAATTTTTTCTGTTATTTTATTTTAGAAAAATAAGATTTTATTTAATTAATATTCTTTTGCTAAAAGGTCGACTTTTTTTTCTTTTTAGTTGAATAGAATTCTTTTTTCATTCGACAAATAGATCAAATTCTTCACAAAATGCTTTGACTAATATAAAAACTATCTTCAAAAAAATTTATCAGTTTTTTTAGAATGAAATGATTTTTTGAATAATTGGATTTTACACCAAGAATGGAGTGGCAATTATTTTTTAAAAATAATTTAAGAAAAGGTATAGTGAGACAAATAAATTCGTTATGATATGAAGTAAATGAATTCATAAATAGTACAGAAAGTGAAAAGGTTAAAAAAACAATAAGTACTAAATTAATGAATGAGTCTATGATTGTTTATAGAATTATAGCTCTATATATATTTAATTATTACTTATAATCGTAATACTGTAATATATATTTAGTTGTGAAGTGTATTAATATAATCATAGAATATCATTTCTTTTATTTCGGTCAAAGAAAATTGAAGAACTTAGGTTAGCATCTTCTTTCTAAAGAGTAAAGAGAATAATTTTTTTCAAAAAGGAAATGAATTACCCTAAATATTCATAATTAAATTACCCTAGGATAAGTAAAGTAGTAACTTAAACTCCCAAACTATTAAGGCCTCAAAAATTGCCCATACTGTGTATAATTTTTTTTATAAAAAAGAAATGTGATAAGACTGTCAAATGTGTGTGAACACTAGTAAACTATTGATGGTTGAATCAAATACCTTATTATGCATATTTCTTCACTAGGGAATTAGTAATGACTGCCCCCATCAAAATTGACAATTGAGCACTTAATGATGTTTGTGGATAGTGTTGAGACAATATAGAGAAATCTATGTTTGAATATATGATGCAACAAGTTATAGACACTAAAATGTAGTCTGAAGGAGCTGATTAAAGAACACTTTTTAACTTTTTGATAGAAAGTGAAGCGAAGAAGATGGAGAAAGAGTCCGCGCAAGTGATGGTGGTGACGATAGAGGAGGAGGTGGTGGTAATGGTGACAGAGGAGGAGAGTTCATCATCTTTCAAACATCCTCATATGGTAGGCCTTTCCAGATATCTTGGGTCGGAGACTTGTGAATACAAGAGAAACTTTTGGAGAAAACGCTTTACCCCTTTTGGTAACTCTATCCAAATTAGTCAGACCAATGACTAACAGAGAAGTGCTCTCTTCCCCTGGTCTCAAATCTGTCTAGATGCAGCACTGCTTGTGCAATCATCAACTGTTGCTCCGACCATCCTACAAATCACAGATTATGATAAGACATAAAGTACACTCATGATCAGACAAACAAATTGAAACGGATGAAGTACTTTGTTTTTTTTCTTGACATATCAAATTACAAAACACCCGGAGAGCTTGATTGAGGAATCAAAACTCAATATTAGACGATCGGAAAGAACATAGCACTAATATTTATAATCGGTTGCTACAAAAATGATAATATACAACCTCAAGAATAATGTGATTTAAAATGTAACTATTATGTTTTCGTTTAAGCCATCAGATTGACTTCAAACCTGTTACTTATAATTTTAATGTAATTATTGATTTGCCTTATTAATTCATCAGTGCTAAGTAAATCGCCTAATCTTTTCCAACATTGTCTATCTAATACTTAACCACATTGAAATTAGTTGTTAATCTAACTGTACTCAAAATTCAAATTATTAAAATTTAATAACAATAGGCATTTTGAGTTACCTTAAATTCGTCTTCTTGGTAATCCCCTTGATATATCCCAACATATAGAGCTAATTTAGCCTCTCTTCCGCTTAAGTGGTGTGAGATCAAGACTTCCGTATTTTTTTTGCAAAAAGTGTTCTTTCATCCTCATAGATCAAATGAACTCCCCACTGTCTCACAATGCGCCCATGGAGAGATGCCTCAAATAGGCTATACTGGTTAATTTTTCCAAAATCTGTGCCGGACACCTGCAGCGAAGCATACAATGGTATGTAGACAAAGCAAACACACGAGCCGTATGTTCTAGATGCTGTTCCCACTTTACATTCTTTCTCTAGCACTTCTAAATCATCTTTGCATATCAATTTAGCTTTGACGAAAGCATAATCATACTTCTTGGATAGCCCTGAATCAGGATTCAACACACCTGCTCCCATGTGAGTAGCACAGCATATAGCAAAGCCCTTGAACTTATCATTATACCAATTAATAGGAAGTTCGAGCAACATCTTTTCCCCAACACTCTGGTGCTTAAACCAGGTGGGAATTGCACATTCAGGAAAGACGATGGAACAAGTCACCCTGTAATCGCAGTTGAGAGAGGACTGGACCACATTATCCATGTCGTGTGAAAGAAACGAACCAAGAATCTCATCCAAAACTGAGCTACCATTGCTCTCCTTTGTATAAGATTGTTGAACAAAACTATAATTAGTGAATGATACCAAATTCAACCTCGGGTACATTTGTAGCTTTGCGATACTTTGCTTGGCCAAAAAATCTTCTGCATATAATTCCTCTATACTTGGTGGAAGTTTGGGAAGTTCCTTAAGTTCCTGACACTGTTTTATGTTGAGATATCGAAGCTGAGAAAGTCGACTGATGATATCAGGTAATGAAATAAACTTGTTTCTTCTCAGATTCAATTCCAGCAAAGAAGGCAAGTTCATAAGAGCAGCAGTTTGGTTATCAGATAAATTGCATCCACTGAGATCTAAGCTTTTCAATTTCCTCAAACAATGAAACTCCCAGGAAGAGGGTAACATCAAACTGTCACCAGTTTGACGCTTTACTTTCCGGCTTCTTCTTAATGATAGAACTTTAAGTTTGCTTAAGTTTCTAACAATCTGGTAGTTTCCAAATGGCAGTGTTACCAGCATAGAGCTCCTCCATCTGGTTTAGATCACCTAGATTTTCAGGAAACTTTGCAAGTCTTGAGCAGCCTTTCACAGTCAAAATTTTCAGCTTTCTCATCTCAGAGACACTGGCTGGGAGTCTTGCAAGGTTTTTACATGAGTGCAAATCGAGCAAGCTGATGCCACTGAGCTTTCCAACTGATGAGGGAAGTTCCCATATTGCAGTATGTGCCAAAAGGAGTTCTGATAGCAATTCCATATTTCCCTGAATTTCTGGAAATTTTTCTAACTTCTCACAACCTGAGAGATTGAAAATTTCAAGAGATTCCATTTGAATACTGCTTGGTAAAGAATTGAGACTTTTGCAGTTTTCCATATTCAAAAAGGTAACCTTTCTGAGATGGCCAATGGAAGGATGAATTTCTGCCAAACTTGCACAACTTTTCAGTATAATCCTCTGCAGGTTTGGGATCTCCGAAAAATTGGGCGTTCGGATTAAATTTCTAGAAAAACTTAAATTGAGGACTGTCAACTTATGAAATGCCTGTTCAGAAAAAGAGAATGAACAGAAACTTCAGCTTTAGCTATCATTTTCTTTTCTTCATATATAATTTATTTGTTTCTTACGGTGATAAATAATACCTTCGGTTCCTTGACAACTTCAACAAGAGAACTGAAAGGCATGCGGAGCCCAACAAGGTTTCCTGGTTCATAATATGCTGGTAAAGATTCAAAACTGTAGTATGACCAATCAAGCCATTTCAAGTTACTGGGGAGACAGTCAATAGGGTCACAAATAAGGTCATGATGCCGGACCTCCTCCCCTTTGACAATGAGTAACCTAAGACAAGGCATGTTTCGGAAAGCTTTGCTCCACTTGCATATATGTTGGTCTGCGCCCATTGGTACCATTATGCCTTTAATTGATTCTGTCTTCTGGAAAAAAATAAAGCAACTCCATTAAACAGAAATTCATTCTCCAGTCAATTTAAGGTTCTGTAATCTGTCACATGAGTTTACATTAGAAGTTCTTTTCCTTGAGACACTAAATTCAACTATCTTGATAACAAGAAGCCAAAACTGATAAATTGAACCTGGAAGTTTCAAAAGAGTAATAATGTAATTTCTTAAAAATAGTGTACCATCTGAAAAAAGAATTCCTATGCTTTCTTAAATTAAACCAAAAGAAATTAAAAAAATAAATCTAAACTTGTCAAACAATAAGTATTCATGAGTTTCCAAAAGAAAGTTATTTATGATGCTAGAAATTCATATATGTCATGTTGCACATTATAATTTGCCCCTGAAATTCTTCTGTAGGAGAAAGAGATCTTCCGTCAAGGCCAAATAGATCGGCAACCCCTGGAACTTGGCATAAACTATCATTTTGGCACCCCATTGATGCATGGTACTTATTGACACCCCAGTGGTGCCGTGGTCGGCCCTTGTCCGCTTTTAAGTCAGGTTTGCTTTGGTCTTTTCCCCTGTGCATTTAGTATTTAAACTACGTTATTTTGCTTAGTTTAAGCCTGATAATTTAGTCAGAACCGACCTAAAACCTTTATTCCCAAAAATCACCAAAACTTATAGCAAAAAGAGAAGAAGAATACGCCAGTTTTCTCAAGAACATGCAACAGGTTTTCTTCATTTCCAGCCCCGAAATCAAAGGATTTCTCCGTGAATTTCGTCTCCAAGTACGTGGGATTTCACTAATGGGTTCCTTTCATTCACTAGGTTCCTAAAATTTAGTCAATTTTTGATTCTTTGTATCTTCTTTAAACTTAGGGTTTCTAAATCCTTGGATAATTATTGGGATTTAGCTATTGTAGTATTCTTAATCAAAATACCATGATTTCTTGGAAACGTTGTTTAGTTCCTTGCATGAAATCCTAGTTGTGTAGATTCTCTTAGTTCCAGAATTACACTTGCTAGGTCAGTTAAGCAGATAATGATGGCTCCAGTTTGAATGTTATATTATTAGTATATTAATGTTGCATTCTCAAATTTTGCATGCCAGTATTTTGAGTTGTTCAACATTTCAATATTTCAGTCATAATGAGTCATATACATATTTAATTGGGAGTAGACTTAGCACCGAGTTCGACTAGGATTTCGTGTACCCTCATAGTCCTAGAAGTACGTGTCCCCCATAGGACATAAGTCCCCTCTTTTGAGTATATTTAGTGATCACGCTATACCCCTGATAAGATATATTAGGTTCTCTCGATGGGGCGTATACATCATACTCCACGTTTAGCTCATGTGATTTTATGTCGGTTAATAGTAGCTCCTACACTCAAACTCTTAGTGCATTTATATATATATATATATATATATGTTTGTTCAGCTTATTATCTATATCTTGCATGCTCAATACATTCAAACATTGACACATACTCTGTGCTACATCTTTTCATGCAGATTTAGGTACTCCGCATTCGGACTGCGCTTAGTTGATCCTCGAAACGCATTCAGCAGTTTCAGTGGCGAGTCCTCATACTTCAAGGACAATAGACATACTTCCATTTCAGCCTTTACATTTTAGTTTCAGTTCTATTAGAGAGAGTTGGGGGCATGTCCCAACAACTCAACTTGTTAAGTTTGATCTTCCAGTTGTTACTAAACTCTTGGTATGGTTTATACATTCAGATTAGTTGGGTATTCCCCATTTTTCAGTATGCTTATAATATGCCAGACACAGGGTAAACTTGGGGTCACTCGTGATCCTAGGTCCCGTGTTACGCCAAGGGGGTAGCCTCCGGGCGTGACATCAACACACTCATTTTCTATTCGATAATAAATGCTCAAGATGATACAAATCTAAAACTACAAAATCATAATTCGAACTAGAACTCCAGTAAATGGATGTTGAGTAAGCTAGTGTAGTTGAAATCTTTAGATGGCGCATCAGTAATCTATGAAACAAAATATGCAACTAATCTTCCTAATTGTGCGAAAAGTAATATAGAAGACCAAATATGAAGCTACGAGGCCATACTTGTTGCCAAGATATTACATGATTAAAGAAACTATCCTATGAGATGCAGTTTAGATTGAGAAAAATGTACTAGTGGTAAAGTAAGTTGTAAAATTCGGATGTCTACTTCCAGTGAGATAAAGTAATGCAAAAGAGAAAATGGAATTCTCCATCTGAGGACATGTTTACCTGATTTGCAGAAAAAACAGTTTTTATATGATTCCATGGCTTGTCCTGGTCAACATTGCGTGCCACCCAGTTGTTCTATCAAATCATGCATCTCAGCCATTCCTTCAGAAATATATAAGAGTAATTTTTGGATGAGGATATCTGTTCCAATCTCTGATCTGAAAACCAAAACTGTTTAGTATAGTGATCACATCATCTCTCTTTCTTCCTCTAAAAAAACATGCCATATCAAGGAATATATTCTTCTCTTCGTGGCTCAATCTAAGCAATTTTTTCATATTCTAATGCACTTCTCCACTCAGTAATGCCTCGCTTATAGAGAAAAGAACCCAGGACCTTAAGAGCTACAGGAAGATGGCGCTATTTATAGAGGTGGCCAACATCTTCAGAGTGCTCTCCATACTGTGGGCACCTACTGCAAGGCTGAAATCCCTCTTTTGGAAGTTCGAACAAGATCTCTAGTAGTGAAGCAAGAGACCTTCAAAGGAGCCTTGCTATATTTCCAAGGCCAAGAAACCCTTTCCAACAAACTGTAGCCACTTCTGACTCTAAAGAGACCTGTTGGATGTCCCTTCCATATGATAAGATTATATTTTATTATAGTTTCTAAGCATCTGAAACAAAAGACATAATCTTTCCACTTCCCAGACATTTAAACTCCTTCAAAGAAAGAGATTCCAGCCTTGAGTTGAATAAAATTCAGGAATTACCCTGTTGAGCTGCCAAGTGAAACTTGTTCATTTTATTTGTCTTAATGCAGCAGCTTAGTGAGAACTTCCTTTACTATTTGTAGATAGTGAGTTATGTCAATTTACTTTTACTTGCTAAGTAATTCTTCATAGCATCTTTAACGTTGTTATTTGTCTGATAATTAGTTTGACTGATGACATTTGGTATTGATTCGAGAAGAACATTTTTCTTGTAAATTAGATTGTTGCAAAGTTTTACAGGATTTCTAGAATTAGATGTACTATATTTAAGTAGTTTGGAAAACTATCCTTTGATAATAGAAGCCAGATGTAAATCAGTCGGTGTTTCCCTAAGGCCATTATGCTTTGTCAAAGGAGAATAGGGTCTTACTGTTTGATGTGAATTCCAGTTCAGTGTTAACATAGTTCTTTTCTTTTCTTTTCAGTGGACAGATTCGGTTAAAGGCATAATGGTTCCAACATATATGCAAGTGGACAAAGCTTTCAGAAATATGCCTTGTCTTAGGTTACTCATTGTCAAAGAGGAGGAGGTCTTACTACAGTTTTGAATCTTTACCAGCAAATTTTCAAGCACGAAACCATGTTGGGCTCAACATGACTTTTAGTTCTGTTGTTGAAATTTGCAAGGAACCAAAGGTATTGGTTGATCTCTTCATGACAGTGCTCTCTAAGCATTGAATATTCTTTTACAGGAAAGAGTTGGTTAAAACTGACATCTTTTATTCTTCACCTTTCTATAACCACAAGTTGACAATTCTCAATTTAAGCTTTTCACAAAATTTACTCAGAACACTCAACTTCTCTGAGATGCTAAATTTGCAGAGAATTGTGCTGAAAGGTTGGTTGAGGTTCATCCATCCATTGACAATCTCAAAAAGCTTATTTCTCTGAACATGAAGGACTGTAGAAATCTCAAGTTCTTCCTGAGCAGTATTCAAATGGAATCTCTGGAGAGCCTCAAATTAGAAGCTCTTACAGAAATTCAGGGGAATATGGAGTTACTATCAGAGCTTCTTTTGGGATGTACTGCAATTCGGGAACTGCCATCATCAATAGGAAGGCTATTTGGCATCAGCTTACTTGATTTGCATTCATGTAAAAATCTTGTAGGACTTCCAGACAGTGTTAGCAAGATGAGAAAACTGAAAGTTTTGATTCTTAAAGGCTGCCTAAATCTGGCGACTTTTCCAGAAAGCCTGGGTGATCTAGAAGGGTTGGAGGAGCTTTATGCTGGAAACACTGCCATTCGGCGACTACCAGATTCTATGATAAAGCTAAACAGACTTAAAATCCTATCACTAAAAAGGACACGGAAGATAAACTCTGAATTTGCTAGAGATAGGATATTCCCTTGTGCATTTGATGGTTTGAAGGAATTGAAAAGTTTGGATCTCAGTGGATGCATTTTATCTGGTGACAAGATTTTTGCTCGTATAAACCTGAGCAGAAACAAGTTTGTTTCTCTACCTGATAGCATCAGTCAACTTTATCGACTTCGATATCTCAACATAACACACTGTCATGAACTTCCCAAACTTCCTCAAATATATATATAATATATAGAATCACTCATTCATTGTGCATGTCCCATGATGCTAAAGCATGGTATGCTGCCTGTTATCGTCGTTCTGGAATGCTGAACATGATCTTAACTGCTGAATTTTCCCCGTTTCTTCTATCGTATTAACCCTGCCTGATTTTGCCTTTGCTAGGGGCTTAGATTTCTGTTTAGCAGATTGATGGTATAGTGCCCACTTATACTGACACCAAATATTGTCCTAATTTAACTGTCTGATGGGTGTCCCAGTTTGCATCATGTATCACCTATCTCAAAAAGAAATTGATAAATGCATTGATTTCACTTTGTAATTATGGATTTTAAAGTACAATATTCTGCCTGAATGTGCTTATTTGTTTGATGTTATATAGTTATAATGCGAATTAGCATCAGTTGTGCCCCTAGTGGCGTTGGCCTTGTGGTAAGAGGTGATGTATGTGTTAGACGCATGTCACGGAATTAAACCCTATAACAAACAAAAGAAACTGATATTTAAGTGATGAAGGGTAGACCCATTATCCGCAAAGTTTGGGATCGTGTGTCGCTGGCCCTGGAGGATTTCTTTGGTTATCAAAAAATCTAAGGAGAAAAAAAAAAGAATTAGCTTTAGCCGTATAAGTTTTGCAAATTAATTTTTTTATCAGAAATGTTTTTATCAATAAAACAGCACTAAGATAGTGCTGATTATTACAGAGTATACTTGATGTATATTTTATATTCATTTTGAGACAAGTATATGATGATTATAGTTTTTGGATTGGCACCATCTTTGCAGCAAACTAAATGGGATATTTAAATATCTTATGGACATGATTACACTTATCAAAAATCATTCTATTCCTTTTTTCTGAAATTTACTTTTCTAACAAAGATTAGTAACATTAACAATTTAATACTATAAGATTATTTATTCATAATTGAAAAAATCCTGTCATTCCATTGTTTCATTCTTTCCAGTCTCTAGACATATCTCATCAACACCACATTAAAAAAATATTGTGCTCATGAATATTTTGATGCATTATGAAAGACACTGATGAATTGAAACTTTATCGGTAGCTCAAAATTGTACCATACTCATTAAATGTCACCAATAAATTTAATTCTTGATATTACTTATCATCCATAAATGAAATTGTCTTGTAATTAATTTCCACTTAGACTATTGTATTTTAAAATATGAATATATGATATTCAAGATATTACTCCAATGGAAGGCAATCCAATATATAATGAAGCTATCGATAAGTTGTCTGCTTGAGATCATATAAATTGAACACATATAAAAATTTGAAAGAATGTATTCGGTAAAGCTTCTTCAACTATATTTTTTATGTTTTTTAAATTTTTATTCCATCCGGAAAAAAAGTGTTACTCACAAATTAACTCTAAGTCAGCTAGCATGGGAAGTACAAATTCAGCAAAATCTAGCAATTTTGGTATGAAAAGTACGAGTTCATTCTAAGTGTAGAACTCAATAATTTTGATTTAATCTGATGTATTAATTGAAAATTTTACTTTATAAGTAATATGATACGTTGTTTGAATTTATGAACTTTCAATTCTATATCTAAAAGTGATTGTATGCAGAGAAAATGCATCAGTGGTAAATTAATTTATTATCTTGGTAAACGGTTGCAATAAACCTTAAATAGTAAGTGTTAAGATCTGAAAACTATAGTCTAAAATTACTCTCAAATTGTAAAATTATTTTAGTTTCTAGTACCAAAAATATTGGTTGCTTGTCCCTTTCATTTAAAAAGTACATAAATTAAAAGGCTCCCCCAAAATTTACAAAAATGCATTAACCCCCCACAACATCTTGTAGATTTCTTTTTTCTTCTTCTTTTATTTCTTTTTTCATAGGGGCCCAAGCAATTATGTACATTATTAAAAAGACAAAACAAAACTAACGGACCTACTAGTCATGTACATGTCAATTGTCATTCACTTATCCACCTAACATTTTCTATCAAAAATCAATTCCATAATAATAATACTAATTAATAATATTTTTTTAAAAATACACTTCATGTGTCCCATACTTGGGAGTGAGAGGGGAGGGTGAAATACCAAGTCCAAATACTTGAATTTAACTATAAATTCGGATATAAATTTTAGAAATAGAATTTACATATTTTTTTATAAAAAAAAAGACATTGTAGATACTAATAATTCAAAATATTTTTGATAAAATTATGATATAAAATGACTTAATTATTAAAGAAATACTTTCACAGAGAGAAAAAATAACAAACAAACCATGATCACCCCTTTTAGTTTCATTCATTATCCAAAAGAAGATAGTAGGACAAAACATGTGGATGTTTAGGTGAAAAAGCTTATCCAAAAGGGGTTGACACAAACACAAACACAAATTTTAATTTTCACAATCCTTTTCATTAAGAGGGTGAAGAAAAGCAGAAACAGCCAACTTTGGTAGGTATGAGTAACATGGCTTCTTTGCTCTTTTTATGGGCCATGTTCTACAATTGAAAAAGATGTCCTCTTATCCATTTTATTGTTTCATCTCAACCAAGATTTTAAATATTATGTTCATCACCAATAAAATCTCATATAATATAATATAAATTACTTAAAAAGGAGTATTTTTTTCTTTAAACCCCTTGAAGTTTTTCATAATTATATAGACTACCTTTAAAGTATTGAAAATTTCAAAAATTGGCACTTCTTTTTGTCACTAAAGTTGTAGGAAGAGTCCAACAGAGAAAAAAATTTAAAATAGGAGAAAATATCTGATACACATCTTATTTTATTGTTATCTTTAAAATTTTCTATCATTTAAAATAAATCAAAAATTTCCCTTCTAAATACATCATTTTCCTCTCGCTATACATCCATATTTCTCTCGGTTACATCCCTCTCTCTTGGATACATCTTTCGCCTATATACGCGGATCATGTCCTCTCTCTAATGCATTCCTCCCCTCTCGAAATATCATTCCCTTATGTATTCAGATGTCCTATCCCCTCTCTGATACATCTCTCCCGTCTTTGATACATCTCTCGCCTATCTATCTGGATGTCTACTGATGTATCCAAATATGATGTATCCAGAATTCATAAATTTTTAGGGACTTTTGTAATTTAAAAAATAGTAGGGAAATAATGTAATCACCTCTTAATACTATGGGACTTATGTAATCACTAATAGTTTCTCTTGTTTGCAATATTGATGCATTTTTTGTCCTCTCCTAAAATTTTAACCACTTTTTAACTTTGATTTTACCTATAATTTATGATAGGAATGTTCAATGTTTTTACCCTTCACCAGTGATTAAGACTTGAGACTTCCATGTTGGAGGTCTCAAGTTCGAAACCCCTTGCCAGCGAAAGTAAGAGGATTGTCATTTGGGTCGAGCTCGTAGCATCAGACTTACCTAGTGCGGGTTACCTCTCCTATGTGATTTGCGAGTTATTGTATAAGAACGGGGGTTTAACCCTCTGCGCACTCAAAGGATAACTGTTGTGCATTTCCCTTGTCATAAAAAAAAAATAGTATAAATAATAACTCCATTTGAGAGAATGTGAGAAGATGAGAACACCTTGTTTTGCTTAGGAGAAATATTATGGCAATCCATGTTCATGAGGGAGTTTTTGATAATCATGTATTTTCTTCGTTTAAATTTGTTTGACATATTTTCTCTTTTAGTTTGTTTTCAAAAAAATAACTTTTTTTAATAAATTTTAAAATTAATTTTTTACGTGACATGTTTAATTAAGATTATATTATTAAATAGATTTTTTAATACATTTGACAAATATTTAATTCAAAACAACAAAATCCAAAAATATATTTTATTAATTTTTAAAAATAATTTATGTCAAAGTCAAAATAGATTAAACTAATTGAGATCAAGGATGGAGTATATAACATTTTAGTACAAGTCAATGGCCTTAGTTTTGTCCAACTTTTTATCATTCAATCTAGTTGCCTTCACACAATATATGAACATGTTAGATTTAACAATAATGGTTCTCTTTTTAAAATTAAAATACACTTTCTCAAAGAAAATAAAATAATAATTTGTTCAATAGTGCTGGTCTTCTAGAAGAAAATAAAGAAATTAAAATAATAATTAATCACTATATATGTTAATTAGGGAAAGAATTGGTACGATATAAATCTTAAGCACAAATATAATAGTGTAATGTAGGTGCAGATTGACACTCAAAAGTTATTTGTCAAAGTAAAATATGATGATTTCATTTGACGAAGACGGAAAATATAAAATAACTAAAATTAAACTTTATTCAAGTTTGTTATGGTCAATAATAGATATCATGAAATTGACTCCAATCTCTATATCATAAAATCTTTTTATTTAAAAAAATAATAATAAAGTTTCTATCACATGATGTTTTTCGGTTATAATTAGGTGGTGAACTAATTTGGTATTATCCTCTTTTTTTTTTTTCTTTTTTTTTTTTGTCTACGTAAGAAGATTTATATAATTTACTTTGACTTTTATGAGTTTAAAAATATAAGAACATATTTGATTGTATTTATTTGTATGTACTTTAAATATTTCATTGTTAATATTTTTCATATAATTTTTACAGTATATAAATTATTGAAGATTGTATATTTAAGTGTTTAGTTAAATCATAAAATTTAATTATGTCATATAAATTAAAATAAATTAATAATAACTATGAAATTAATCTGAACTTCTGGTTGAAATAGTCTTATTTTTTTTAAAAAAAAAAATACATCACACAATCAAATGTGATTAATAATTTCTTAATATTTTGTAGAAGCTGCAAAATACTTGCGTTTATGAAATGCTACACATGTCATTTGTATATTAAGCAAAACTGATTGAACTTGTCTAAAAAAAATAAAAATTAGGCCTACACAGTCAATCTAGAAAAATAATTTCTTAAAATACGGTGCAAAATACAAAATAGTTTTTAATATAGTTAGATTTTCTACATTAAAGGTACATATTGTGAATAGAACACTAAGTATTTATTTATTTCTTATTGTTATGTATGATCTTAAGGTCCCAATCAATTGTATGATCATAATTCTACAAGTTAGTCGTATAAAATAACACAATTTATACGGTCAAATCATAGAAAGAGTCATTTGGATTATAATTTCAATTTGAAAATTGTATAAAGGAAAACCACTTAGGACATTATAATTTTTTTGGTGTAAACTAAATATTATGAATTAAAAAAATTAAAATAATTGATTGCGTGATTTATGAAATGTGGACTTAAGCAAAGATCTCCGTGAAGGCAGAACCATCAATCACACTTAGATAAATCATATGCTACTGATTAATTCAAATTTAGGGAGTGTTTGGTATGAATTG